TTAATCCTACACTGTATGTGCCTAGGGTCTCACCCTAGCAGCTGAGACAGGCCACCCCAACCGACTTGGTGGCACCACAGTGTCAGCCTTRTCAGGATAGGTCTCCCCAGACCGACCCACTGGCTGTGAACATTCTAAACTAACACGAGTTTCATTAAGTGTTCAGTTTAAGGGTATTACACAGAAACATACCAAGGGAACATGAATCAAATATGCACTTTTATTCATTTACAATGAACTCATAAAGTACATTCTGATTGAAGCTAAGGGCATACAAAACTATCCAACATCGAGGGGCCGTGGTGTTAGAGGTGGAGCTCAGTTTGATCGTAGTGGTAGTAGTGGATCGGTATATGGCCGGAGTGGTGGTGGTGGACCTACCTATAACCGTGGTGGTGGTCATACTAGAGGTAGAGATTCAGGAAGAGCCCGTGGCCGAGAACGTAGTTTTGGGTCCAAGGAGGTGTACACATTGTGGTATGGATGGACGCACCATTAATTATTGGTATGACTTGCATGGTCCACCTTCAATTTGGACCAATCATGCCATGACTAGTGACAGTAGCTTCAGACAGGAGGGTCGTTCAGCTGATTAGATGCTTCCCCGTGATGAGTATGAGAGGTTTGTTCAGGCCACATCTCAGTAGAACATGACTACTCTCGCACACCCAATCCTTGGATTATTGACTTTGGAGCCTCCGCTCACATGACTGTAACTCTAGGTGTGTTTTCTTTCCTCTCTCATTGCTCAACATCATTATCCGTCACCCTTGCTAATGGCTCCACATCCTCCATTTGTGGTGTTGGTAATGTTAACATAACCCCTTACCTTTATCCTCAGTTTTGCATGTCCCTAAGTTTCTGTTTAACCATATGTCAGTTAGTAAGTTGACAAAGTCCCTTAATTGCTCTATTACTTTTTACCCTTCTTCATGTGTTTTTCAGGATCTATGAAGATTGGTGGAGGACATGAACCCGATGGATTGTATTATCTTGACAGTGGTGGAAGAATGTCAACAACTCTCCAGTCATCTCTCTCTCCTCTCTAGTGGCATTGTCGATTTGGTCATCCTTCTCTGAAAGTTTTGAAGTCTTTGGTTCCTCCATTGATTCATCTTTCTGTTTTGGATTGTGAGTCGTGTCAGTTGGGGAAACGTCATCGTGTTCCCTTTAGTCCTAGGGTTGATAACCGCATGTCGAGTCCTTTTTCTTTGGTTCATTAAGATGTTTGGGGTTCTTATAAAGTAATGTCATACAATGGATATAGATATTTTGTCATTTTTGTTGATGATTATTTAAGGATGACGTGGCTCTATTTAATGAAAGAAAGGAGTGAATTGTCTACCATTTTCCAAAAATTTTATGTTGAGATTCGCAACCAATTTGGTGTTGACATTAAAATTTTTCGTTCCGATAATGGCCGTGAATATTTCTCTTCATCATTTCAAGAATATTTGAACCAACATGGCATTATCCATTAGACTTCATGTACCTACACCCCACAACAAAATGGAGTGGCTGAGAGAAAGAATCGTCATCTTTTGGAAACAGTTCGATCTCTCATGCATCACATGAATTTCCCCAAACCCTTTTGGAGTGATGTGGTGCTTACTTGCTTCTTGATTAACCGAGTGCCCACGTCTATCCTTGATGGTCATTCTCCATTTACCACTTTGTTTCCTACCTTGTCTCCGTGTCCTCTTTCTCCTCGGTTTTTTGGGTGTGTCTGCTTTGTCCATAATCTGGGGCCAGAAGGGACAATTTAGATGCACGATCCATTAAATGCATCTTCCTTGGCTATTCCCAAACTCAGAAAGGGTATAAATGTTATCATCCTAGCTCTCGACGTTCCTTTATGTGTGTTGATGTTACCTTCTTTGAGTCTACTCCGTTTTTCTTGGGGTCCGGTGATGTTTCTTTCTCCTCGTCACCTCCTCCCCTTCCTCTTCCAATTGCAGATTTTGTTCCTCTTGTTCCAGCTGTGACCAAGTCCTTGCCTCCGGTGCCACCACCTGTTGAACGGCCGCCTATCCGTCAAGTGTATACACATTGCCCACATGTACCGGCTCCTCCTCCAGCTCCATCATCGCCAACAGATCCGATAGTTCTCCCTACACCAGCTCCACCCCCAGTATCTGACCTTGATCTTCCCATTACTATGCGGAAAGGTAAACGCAGTTGTACCCTTCACCCTATTTCTAATTATGTTTCTCACTCACCTTTCTGCTTCCCATCGCCAGTTTATCTCCTTGTTGTCCTTTGTTATTGTCCCTAAAGCCCTTGCCTCTCCAGGATGGCGCCATGCAATGGAAGAAGAACTCTCAGATTTAATTCATAATCATACATGGGACCTCATTCCTCTTCCTCCTGGTAAGTAGGCTATTGGTTGTAAGTGGGTTTATACTGTTAAGTACTTACCTGATGGTAGTGTAGAGCAGTTGAAAGCTAGACTGGTTGCGAAAGGGTACTCCTAAACCTATGGTATTGACTACATAGAGACCTCCCCGGTTGCTAAGGTTGGTTCAGTTCGTGTTGTGATCTCTCTTGCTGCTATGTATGATTGGCCCCTTTATCAGCTTGATATCAAGAATGCTTTCTTGCATGGTGATTTGCTCGAGGAGGACTATATGGAGCAACCACCAGGGTTTGTTGCTCAGGGGGAGGACGGTAAGGTGTGCAGACTAAAGAAGGCCATTTATGGGCTTAAACAGTCTCCTCGAGCATGGTTTGGTAGGTTCAATGAGGTGGTAAAGAAGTTTGGTATGAAACAGTGCCAAGTTGACCATACATTCTTCAGTCATGACTCTCAGGTAGGAAAGATCTTATTGGTGGTGCATGTAGATGATATTGTTATTATCGGAAATGATAAAATGGGCATTGATAGGTTGAAGGCTTTTCTGTAGGAACATTGTTAGACAAAGGACCTTGGTAAATTGAAATATTTCTTGGGGATAGAAGTAGCAAGGTCTAAGCATGGTATTAACTTGTGTAAGAGGAAATGTCCTTGATTGGCTGGAAGAAACAGGTTTGTTAGGTGCTAAACCAGCTAAAACACCTATGGAAACAAACACTAAGCTGAGCAGCGATATGGGTGAAGTGTTTGAAGACCCTTGCAGATACCGGCGGCTTGTAGGTAAACTGAACTACCTAACCATTACTCGGCTAGATATTTCATTTTCAGTTAGTCTGGTAGGTCAGTTCTTGCAGAATCCTCTAGTTCCACATTGGGATGCAGTTCTAAGGATTGTGAGGTATTTAAAGGGGGTTCCTGGTCGTGGTTTGATATACAAGAGTGGTGGAAAACTTGAAATAGAAGGATATACTGATGCTGACTGGGTCGGTTCTATGTCTGATAGGAGATCTACCACAGGCTATTGCACTTTTCTTGGGGATAATCTGGTGACATGGAAAAGTAAGAAGCAGTTGTGGCAAGAAGCAATGCAAAGGTAGAATATGGAGCTATGACACATACTACTTGTGAATTAGTGTGGCTGAAGAACCTTCTACAGGAGATGGGATACACTGTTAACACTCCAATGAAGTTCTACTGTGACAATCAGGTTGTAGTTCATATTTCTTCTAATCCGGTGTTTCATGAGAGAACCAAGCACATAGAGGTTGATTGTCACTTTGTGAGAGAGAACGTGCTGAGTGGAGTGATAGATACTGCATATGTTAACACAGGGAACCCTTGGGCAGACTTGTTTACTAAAGGGTTGAGTCGGGGAAGAGTCGACTACATATGTAACAAGCTAGGATTATATGATATATATTCTCTAGCTTGAGGGGGATTGTTAGTGTCGAATATGTAGGGGTATTTCTGTCTTTATACTTATGTTTATGTGCTGATGTGTAAGATTATGTTAGATTTAGTGTCCCTTACTTAAGTAGGGGCGCATGTGTCTTTTCCACAATATAAGTAATATAAATCAATTCTGGCCGAATGTGAGAGTGATCTTTTTCTCTCATTCGAACCAGATCTTTCTCCTCCCTTTCTTCTCTTCTCTTCTTCTTCTTTCTCTCTCTCTCTTTCTCTTCCTTCTTGACTGTTATCAGCTTAATAGGATTCAAGGGCAGGCCGAATCCTAATAATATTAATACTAATATTAATGGCAATTAGAACAATAATAGGTGCAGTATTGATATAATGAATTATGATTAGAATAATTGCAGTTATTATTGTTGGCTTTGCTCCATTTTTTTTCTTTATTTAATTTAGTGAAATATTAGTTTTTGATTTATTGATTCCTAAGCTTGGTTTGGACATAATTTGTTTTATCTAGATATGATTTGGTTAGGATTCTCATCTCTGGAAGTTTTTGTGTATTACTTATGAATGTCCATGCTTGGATAATCTTTAATATTGAGCATATACAAGTTTTAACATGGTGCAAACAGAAAATGTAATTTTTTTTCCTTCTTGTCAATATTGTTGGTCTAGAAAAGTTTACAAGAAGTATGTATTTTGAAGGCCTGATAAAGTACAAATTTCAAGCCCTCACAAATGGTGATATGAAAAAAGTGGAATAATTTAATTATGTGCTCTTTGTACTTTTATCAGTTTGATTTTAGATCTAGATGAGTGTAACTTATTTAGAGTATGCTGTTAGATCAGAATTATATATTTGCTTCAACTTCCTTTAATGTCTTTTTTCTTCTTTTCTTTGTCTTAAAGGGATATCAAGTGTACTAATATATTGGTGGATGTAAGTGGGTCCGTTAAGCTGGCAGACTTTGGATTGGCGAAGGTTTTTTTAAATCCTTTCTCATTGTGTTAGCTCTGTCATGTTTCTTACAGATTCTTGCATGGATAAACCCTTTTTCTGCTTTTATTTATTTTATTTGTTCTTTTATCTTACTTTGCCAGTTGTGCACTTTCTCAGGCAACCAGAATGAATGATGTGAAATCATGCAAAGGGACTGCATTCTGGATGGCCCCTGAGGTTTGCTTATTCTCTATACAATATTTTGTTTTAACCAGTAGTTATTGGATCTGACATGTTGGAAAATGTCAATCCCAGATTAAGCTGACACATCAAAGCAATAATAATCCCAAGTTATTAAGCCTTTCCATCTTTTTGAATATCTAGTTTAGTAGTATAATAAGAAATTGATTAGGCTTGGCCTGATATGGCCCTGTATTTCTGTATATTACATATGTCCTATCATGTTCTTTTTCTCCTTCGTTTTTGCTAGTAAATACAATGTTTTATTAAGAAAAAAGGATATTAGAAGGAATCTGATAAAACATCATCATCAATAAAGCCCAACCAACACAAAATGTACTCTTTCAACTATACAATGGAACCACAACCTTTTATCAACAAGCAACAACAAACAATAACAGCCAACTTAAAACATGTAACAATCATAATCTAAAGCCTCTTTAGCAAATACGATCAACCAAACTATGACCTTGGAGACTCTTTCGCAAACCTTAGATTACTGCTAAACCTCTTTCAACCATGGTTGCATATTGATGGACATTCCACCATGCAGAGATGGGGAAACTTTAGGAATATATTATTAATATTGCTAATGTACTTGGAAAACGTAAAGAAATTGCATATTTAAGACTCAAAAAACAACTGTATATAGGGAAGATTAAGGGACTAAAATGCTAATAAAAAAAAAAGATTTAAGGGACATAAATGGATATGCCTCTATGCTGAAGGTGTACACCTCAAGGGTCTGTACTCTTCTAGGCTCCGACTCCAGGCACTTTCATAGTGCTTAGCCTGGAAGCATGCCTCCAGGCGTATGCCTCCAGTGCTTTCTAAACCACTGGTTATATCTCTCTGATTCCCTCTTAGTCTTTTAAACATGTTCTTTTTCTGTATGTATAAGCTGACCATAGAATTTCCATTTGTTCTTATTGAGAAATGATTTTTGAAAACTTTCAATAATTTTAACGAAATATCAAAAAGCTTTGATGATATTCTTAAATTTTAAATCTTACATGTATAATTATCAATGAAATTTGAAATTTGATATACCAGCAATTCATTAGAGGCATGAAGTTAAAAAATATTCTTGGAATATTTCATCACTTATGATGAAATGGGGAGATGTTTGGGGTGATGTTAACAGGGTACCTATACAAGGGCTGTATCTTCTCTCCTGCATGTGAATTTTACTAGAAGCCTTTCTACGGAAGATTTCAAGTGAAAGGTTTTCAAAGTTTTATTGTACTTATATCGGTCAATGAAAGCATAATATAACTATCTCAAATGTCGTTTATTTTTTGTTCTATATAATCTGTAGGCTGAGATGCTGTCAAACATGTTATTAGTGATCAATATGGTCAAGTACCTTGTAGTGTGGCCTGGACAGATTAGGGATTTAGAATTTGACACTTGTCAGGCAGTACACTTTAGAGGTCCATGGGATCCTATGATCCAACAATCTGCAGTTTTTAATTGACTCTGATTTATTAACTTCTGCAATTTTAGGTTGTTAAGAGTAGTGGCTATGGACTTCCAGCTGACATATGGAGCCTTGGTTGCACTGTCTTAGAGATGTTAACTGGTCAGCTTCCTTACTCCAGTTTAGAATGGGTAAGTAATGGACATTTTATTTATGCATTCTCATGCATGTCTGCATTAATATGTTTTCATTTTTTTTCTTTTCTTCTATTTTCTTCTTTGGCATGCCTGTCTGATATTTTAGTTTCCTTTGTTATTATTTTTTAATGTTTTTCTCCTTGGGATTGCTTTTCTTCTAGCTAGTAGTTTATAGTTGATCTGTATTCTGTATTACTTATCCTAATATAAGAAGCTAGGATGTGTTAACTTCGTCGAACTTTCATCATTTTAAATCACTTATTAGTGGTGCAAATCATTCCCAGATTTTTGGAATGTCAAGTTATTGGTGCCTGAGTGCATTAAGCCCATTCAAAATCTAAAAGTTTCTCAACCCAGTTTGCCCAAGTTACACTCCTAAAGTGGGCTCTTGGTAGGCAAGCCTAGCCCTCACTTATGGGTCTTATTCCTCTCTTTTAGGTTCAATGCCACTAGTGCCACTGGACTCCTTATCTAAGCCCATAAATAAGCTCACATTCACAGCCTGCACCAATGTTTTAAAAGGTGTGGTGCATTTTGAGTGTTGTACCTTTCCTGAACCCAGGTGCAGTGTGTGGCCATGCGCCTGGTTAGCCTTGCTCTTCAACCTGAGTATGTATGTTTTTAAAATATGCCTTCTTTTGTTATGCTTTTCTAGATTCTTGTGTGTTTTATACATTTGTACTGGTTTGTTAATTTCTATATTACCTTTTATTGCAGTTTCTATACTAGTTATGCTCTATGAACTTTAAAATAAACAAAAGGAAAGACTTTTTAATTATCTGAAGACTTAATTCTTGCAAATAGGAACTCAAACAGAAAAAAAATCCACTAAAGAAACAATAACAATGCAAGTATTATTTGATCTCTAATCCTAGATAGAAAGAACTACAACTAAAATCACAAAACCAACCCCTTTATGTTGGTTAAAATCTGAGGTCTGGGGTGCTGCCATAAACCCCCACGTAGACATTTTGGGATTGCTTCAAGGGGCCTTTATGGAGCAGAGTAGAGATCTTCTCTGATTAAAAAATGCAAAATGTTTAACATCACACTAGGTACTAGGAGGTAAATAAACACATTGAAAGTTCCACATACTTGAATTGTTGAGTGCTTGAATCTTTTTGGTATGATCTGAATCTCAAACAGAAAAATTCCACTGAAGAAACAATAAGAATGCAAGTATTGTTTGATCTCTAATCCTAGATAGAAAGAACTACAACTAAAATCACAAAACCAACCCCTTTATGTTGGTTAAAATCTGAGGTCTGGGGTGCTGCTGTAAACCCCGGTGTGGACGTTTTTGGGATTGTTTCAAGGGGCCTTTATTGAGGCAGAGGAGAGATCTCCCAGGATTAAAGAATGCAAAATGTTTAACATCACACTAGGTACTAGGAGGTAAATAAACACATTGAATGTTCCACATACTTGAATTGTTGAGTGCTTGAATCTTTTTCGTATGATCTGCATATGTTTGCTTTCATTTCCACATTTTCATTATGAATATTATTTTAACAAATGGTAATTATATTGATTTAGGGAAATAGAGAGACATATTCCTTATTGGTCCTTAGAAAAAGCCGAGTCCTAGGCTGGCACTCGGTATGTCTCAATGGATGTCACCTTTGATGAGCTTTCTTCCTTTTATGGTTCTTCTCTGGAGAGACATTGTCCAAAGGGGGAGGATTTGTCACAGGTGTTTGCTCTTCCTCTTCCTGTCCCAGTTAAGTCTTTTGCTGAGTCTCTTCCTCCTTCAAATGAGTCAAGGGAGGATCAGTCACTTCACTCTCATTCCAGTGTTCCTATTCCTCCTTTACCTCCTCGCCCTCTTTTTAATCCCAGGTTGTATCAACGGCAGAGAACCAGAAATGAGCAGATTGTTTCCCCTACAACACATGAGCCTCATGCACTTCCAGTTACAAATGAGACAACAGGTACTGTTACAGCCCCTTTGGAACCATCCTTCCCAGACCTTGATATCCCCATTGCTATTAGGAAAGGAAAAAGGAAGTGTATTGCACATTGCATTTTCAAACACCTTTCTTATTGTTTGCTCTCTCCTTCATATTTTTCCTACCTTTCTTCTGTTACTTCTAACCCAATTCCCAGGTCTGTGTCAAAAGCTCTTAATATTCCAGAATAGAGGGATGCTATGAGAACAGAAATTGATGCCCTGCAGAAGAATGACGCTTGGGAAGTGGTTGATTTGCCTAAAGGGAAGGATCCAGTAGGTTGTAAGTGGGCTTTTACTATCAATTATCATGCTGATGGTACCATTGAAAGGTACAAGGCTAGGCTGGTTGCAAAAGGCTATACACAGACATATGGGATTGATTATCTAGAGACCTTTGCCCTGTTGCCAAGACGACTTCTGTGAGAGTTCTGCTATCTTTGGATGCACACTCAGACTTGCCACTTTATCAACTGGATGTAAAGAATCCATTTCTGAATGGAGAGTTACATGAGGAGGTCTATATGTCTCTTCCTCCAGGGATGTATGAAACAAATATGAAAGGAAAGGTCTACAGGCTGAAGAAATCTTTTTATGGACTCAAACAGTCCCTTAGAGAAAGGTTTGAAAGGTTTAGGGCTTCCCTTGTTAGCTTTGGCTATGTACAGACACAGTTTGATCATACCCTCTTTGTGAAGAGGAGAGGATCCTTGGCCGTTTTCTTGATTGTGTATGTTGATGATATTGTTGTGACTAGTAATGATGTCTTAGGGATTAATGATCTCAATTCTTTCCTTCATACAGAGTTTGAGATCAAAGATCTGGGGGAATTGAGATACTTTCTTGGCATAGAAGTTGCTAGATCCAAGGATGGGATCCTTCTCTCTCAGAGAAAGTATGTTATTGATTTGCTCTTTGAAACAGGGAAAATGGGTGCTAGACCAGTTGCTACTCCTATCGATATGAGCCATAAACTCTTTGCTTCAGATGGAATATTGTTAGAAGATAAGGGAGTCTTCCAGAGACTACTTGGAAAACTTCTTTATCTATGCATGACTTGGCCAGACATTGCATATGCTGTCAGTTGCATCAATCAGTTCATGCATGCTCCCAGGGATACTCACATGGCAGCAACATAGCGGATTCTGTGTTATTTGAAGGGCTCCCCTGGAAAGGGAATTCTATTTGCTAAGCATAGCCATATGAAACTTGAAGCCTACATAGATGCTGACTGGGCCGGAAACATTGATGACAGAAGATCTACCTCTGGGTACTGTAGATTGGTGGCAGGTAATATTGTCTCTTGGAGAAGCAAGAAACAATCAGTTATTGCTCGATCTTCAGCCGAAGCAGAATACAGAACCATGGCTCATGGAGTTTTGGAACTATTGTGGCTTAGATCCTTGATGGAGGAACTAGGTATTGAGCATGATAACCCAATGATGTTATACTGTGATAATCAGACCGCCATCAACATTACTCACAACCCAGTACAACATGACAGAACTAAGCATATTGAAGTTGACAGACACTTCATTCGAGAAAGAGTGGCTTTTGGAGAAGTGTATCTACCTTTCATCACCTCTGAAGGATAGTTAGTTGATTTTCTCACCAAGGGCATTCCCAAGGCTAAACTTCAGCATGATACTGGCAAGTTTGGCATTATTGACATCTATGCTCAGCTTGAGGGGGAGTGTAGAGAAGATGGGCCAAATGGCCCATAGGCTATTTATCCTTTTTATCTTTTATRTTCTTTGYTGTAATGGGCCTTAATCTRGGCTTTATTCTTTCTTATGTTATGTCTTTTTAATTTTCTGCCCAACTAGGGGCTTCTCTGTAAATTACTAAAGTTTAACTTAATGAAATAGAATTAAGGGAGTAAGAGAAGAGATTATGTTCGAAAATCTCTCTCTTTGAACCCAAGTTGCCGCCACCTTCTTCTTCTTCTTTCCTCTTGAACTCTGATTTCTGCTACTTTCTTTTGAATTTTTGCAACTTTCTAAACAGTCCTTTCTTCTCAAAAGGCTGTTTTTCTTCCCAGAGATTCACCACCCATGATAAGGATATCATCCACTTGGAATGTAATGTCTTAAGTGCATTGAGAAATGAATGAGGAATTATAAGAACTTTGAATATACCAGGCCTGCATAAGCACCTAAAGAAAAGATCAAAATATGCAGAAGGGGTTTGCTTGGGTCCATAAAGAGACTTCTTGAGGTAACAAATTAGTGTGTGATCTATGTAGTAGATAGTTTCCTTTAGATATGATCATCTTAACAGCGGGAACAAAAATCTCCTCATAATTGATACCATATTCTTGAGTGTATCCTTGAATAATTAGTCTAGTTGATTGGGATACTCGGTTCTACAAAAAAGTGGCTTTAAATAGAATGGATTGGCAAAACAAGATTCATGTAGCTGACCCCATATAGTTGGGATAAGGCATGGATGATGATAATAATGATCCTTGAGTAACTAGCTGAGATTTGTATTTTTAAATGCACCAATCAGACTTATGTTTGATAGAATAAACCCGTCTACTTCCAATAAAGGAAGAAGCACTAGAAGGAAGAGGTGCCATGTTCCATGTGTCATTCTCAAGCAAGGCTTTCACCCTAGCATCCATGGCATCTTTCCAGCATGGATTTATGAGGGCTTTCCAGCATGGAATTGTGATAGGTATTTCTGTACTATTAGGAACGGAAAAAAGGAAGCTATGGGTCAAAGAAAACCCATAATGGTCAGGAGGATGGGAAATACGAGTGGAACAATGCAAAGGAATACTCTTAGAAGGTCAAAGGTGCTCACAAGAAAGGAAGAGGAAGGCTGTCCACTGGTGTGGCATTGAGGGAACCGATGGTTGGTGATAACGGTAGATCTGTAGAGGATGAGTTGGGACTTGATTTGGCAAAGAAGGCATGTGTGAGTTGGAAGCATCAAAGTCATGCAAAGTTGCAAACCAACGGAAGAATAACTAAATGGCTTGGATATTTGCCCAAAATAGGAAAAACTTTTCAAGAAAAGACAACATTTCCGAAGACTTGGATATGGCAGAGCAAAGGGTGATAATACAGGAAATTCTTATGGTTAGGACTGTAGCCAACAAGAACATAGAAGATAGATTGAGACAATTTTGTATTCTAATGAGGTGGAAAATGAACAAAGCAGACACAACCAAAGACATGTAACTGAGAGTAGTCAAGGGAATGATGATAATGACTTTGGAAAGGAGAAATATTAGAGAGTACTAGAGTAGGATGACAATTGATAAGATAAACTGAAGTGCTAACAGCTTCAATCTAAAATATAGGAGCATTAGAATCCTGGAGAGACATAGTCATCTTAAGAATATGTTGTTTTTTTCGTTTGACAATTCCATTCATACATACACATGTATGTCAAATTTCAATGTGGATTGATAAACCAACTCAAGCTTGGCCTGGGCCCAAGCCCAACACAATTTTGTCAAATCTCAGTGCAGTCTGGTCCTGGTCTGAACAGATTGGGTGATAGGTTCCGCTTCTATTCTGCTTTCGGTGAGCTGGTTCGAGGGAGCTTGCCCTCCTGAAATGGGCATGAGGTTGAAGACGAGAGAGAGAGAGAAATATCAAGGGAATTATTCACTGTCTTTCATGCATTCGCTGATTGGCCTATATAGTGCATGGCCAACTAACAACTTGTAACCGACTCTGAGCATTTTACACAGACTACGATTGCTTCCCATTACATGGATGTCGGGTATACACGAATTTAACGGGTGGTGCCATACGCGTGATGCGTGTGGTGTTCTGGGCTGATACTTGGGCCTGCTGCGCCCGAGTTTCTCCATCTGGGTTGTCTCCTTCTCTAGGCTTAACATTCCCGCCTCCTTCGAGAATGACCTTGTCCTCAAGGTCAAGGGTGGGAAACTGCTTCCAAAGTTGGTCATAATCCTACCACATGGCATCTTCTTGAGGCAAGCCATGCCACACGACTAGAGCCTGCTTATGGAGCTTGCTGCCCTTGCGAACCCAATGTAAATCCTTAATCACCAGAGGTTCGAACATTACTTCTCCTGCCTCTGTGAATTGAGGGAGAGTGGGGCTGATAACATTAGTGGAAGCCAAGCACGGCTTCAGAAGGCTGACATGGAAGATGGGGTGCAACTGGCATTCTGCAGGTAAGTGGAGGCGGTAGGCGACAAGCCCAATTCGCTCTGCCACCTGAAATGGGCCGAAGTATCTTGGAGATAGTTTCTGGGATGCCCTCCGAACCAAAGATGCCTGTCTATACAGTTGGAGCCATAGATAGACCTAGTCCCCAACAGAGAACTCTAATTCCCGATGCTTCTTGTCATAGGCTAACTTCATTCGTTGCTGGGCCTGTTGTAAGTGGAATTTGAGGAGCTTAAGTGTACCGTCTCCGGTACCACCTCCATCTGCTGAACCCCCGGGTCACCGGTTTGGGTTTCAAAATCATCGTCTCCTACTTGTAGAGGATACACATGTTGGGTCTTGCATTTGTGGCTCGGGACGAATTTTTTGTCACAATTATAGCAGAGGCCTTTCTCCCTGTGGGCCTGCATTTCCGTCCAAGATAGTTTCCAGTAAGGGAGGGTCAGAGATCCAATCCTCTTGTTAGGTGGAACTGGTTTGAGGGTAGTCGTGGTTGGGGTTGGAAGAAGAGGCCCAGGTTTCGACTTAGTCTTGGGATAGGGTCCCTTCTGGGTTAGGCCCGCTTGAGGCCCAATAGGCCTCCCCAGCTTCTTAAGCTGGTCTAGTCTCTCATCTTGGAGCATAGCCAATCCCACCGCAGCCATCAAGGTGGTCGGCTGCATGGTATTCACCTCTATTTGGATGTCTTCCCTTAAGCCCCCTATAAAGCATCCCAGCAGAGCGGCCTCCGGCCAGCCGTGAACTTGGGTGGCCAACCTTTCAAATTCATTCTAATACACCCTCACTGTTCCCGTTTGTCTCACCCGGGAGAGTGACTCATTGAAGTTTTCATAACCAGAAGGACTGAACCTCACGCCCAAGGCTTCGATTAAATCCAACCAGGTGATCTCGGGGTGTGTCTTACGGTACCATTGGTACCACATAATAGCCTCTCCATCCATGTGTATGGTGGCAATGGAGACCCCCCTGATATGTTGGGATCTCATGGAATTCAAAGTAGTGTTCAGCCCGATAGATCCAAGGAACGGGATCATCACCTGAGTAATGAGGAAAATCAATTTTGGCAGCCTTGACTGGAAACGCTCCTCCCCTCCTAACGCCGCTGCTGCTAGATCCTTCAATATCAGTGGGTCTCGAAGCTGATGACATCTGTTCGAACTGACCTACCAGAGCTGAGAGGGTCTCTTTGATTTCTCTCAACTCGCTGGTGGTCTGCCACACTTCTCCTTTGTTGCGGTCGATCCTTTCTTATGCAGATGAAGACCTGGTGGTTGGCATCGCAGCTGGGCTCTGATACCAGTTGATAGGTTCCGCTTCTGTTCTTCTTTCGGTGAGCTGGTTCGAGGGAGCTCACCCTCCTGAAATGGACGTGAGGTTGAAGACAAGAGAAGAGAGAGAGAGAGAGAGAGAAATATCAAGGGAATTATTCACTGTCTTTCATGCATTCGCTAATTGGCCTATATAGTGCATGGCCAGCTAACAACTTGTAACCGACTCTGAGCGTCTTACAGACTATGATTGCTTTCCATTATGTGGACATCGGGGTATACACGAATTTAATGGGTGGTGCCATACACGTGATGCGTGTGGTGTTCTGAGCTGATACTTGGGCCTGCTGGGCCCGAGTTTCTCCATCCGGGTTGTCTCCTTCTCTGGGCTTAACATTGGGCTTTGAGCTCGGACTGAGTCTGCTCTCGGGCCTTAGGCCTAATTCTTAGGGTTAGGGCTGGGATGACATTAAACCCAGCCCAACCCAACCGACTTGCACTCCTTGTAAACTATAGAACCTATCTGATGACATCTAAATCAAGTGAAATAAACGAGTTTTAATAAGCACATCTTTCTCACATGATTTTGACTTCAGATTTTCTGAAAGCTACTTTTGCAAGGGTTTCTCTAGGATGATTTATTAAATCCTCTTCATTGGAAGCTACAAACTTGGACTGACCTAATGAAGGAAAAACATTCCAAAATAAAAATTGCTTTTGCTCAAATTGAAGCTGTGCATTTCATTTATCTTAATGTGTTGCATATAACCATTACATCTGGAATACTTAATTAGTTGAGTGAATTACTTGCTCCATTTTATCAGCCATATAAATGGAGTCGTACCCATTATGCTGCTTTGGAATTTTTATTGTTATTTCTTTGTCTTCGACAACAGATGCAAGCATTATTTAGGATTGGCAGAGGCATACTCCCACCTGTACCTGACACTTTATCTATGGATGCACGGAATTTCATCTTTGAATGCTTAAAAGTTAACCCAAATGACCGCCCCACTGCTTCTCAGCTTTTAGAACATCCATTTGTGAAGAGGCCTCTTCTGGCATCATCGGTCCCTGCATCTCCTATGCATCCCAATGCCAGACGCTCTTGAAGTCAATAATGATGAGGTAAATATCATATTATTGTGGTAGTATTCTGAGAAAAAATTATGGATCTTCACATTTGTAGCATTTGAACAATGCTGTCCAAACTGTTTCAGGTTTTCCTCTGGATTAATTAGGTTCAAGTAGATCACCCTGAACTATGATATTATGGTTTTGGAACCAACAAGCATCCATTTTATGCATTATACATGCCGAGGATGCTTTTTATTTCATTATTTGTTGATAAAGAAAACCGTGTAGACATTTAATTTGTCTAATTCTGTGATGCTATTTCACTCCTGAAAGCAGATCATCTTTCTGCACAGTAGATCCTTGAGCTAGTTGATTTGCTCTGAGGCTGATGTGCTGTTTTTGACATGGCTTGGATGGTACACCATAGGGAGGGTGTGCAGTTAAAACTCAAATTTTTGCATACAATGAAGATGGATTCTAGTTCTGAGTTTGGAACCTCAGATGGCTGTGCATCTTTCATTTGGTATTTTTCCTTGGGAAATTCTTTGAATGGGAGAGGTACCTATACTTTTTTGGGTTTAATCTTTTCTTGTCAATGTGTGTAATTACATTTCCTTTCCAATTCATTAGGTAGATGGAAAAAAGAAAATCTGGGATCAAATTTGTAAGTGGTGGCTGTAAAAATTGACAAGGAATCAGATGCACATGTATATATCCCACCATTGTATCAAATATTGTTTATATTTTAACAAGTATCCAACCAAATTCTCATCCTTGAGACAGTCTTATAATGTCCCTCACTTTTGTGATTCTTTGATTGGTTTTTTGTTTTTGACTCCATTAACTGTTTAAGATGGGCATATTTGTTGGTGTTTGATCTGTCTTCTACATTTCTTAGTAAAATTAATCGGATACATTCCAACTTATTTCTCATAGTTATGGAGAAGTATGATTTCTTATTTATAAGATTTGGTGGGTCCAACCGTCCAAGTATTCACTTCTTTTTCTTTTCTTATTTATTCATTTGTGAAGAAAAGGGTTTATGGGATTACTTGGACGGTATAGTGATGAGACCAACTAAAGACAAGATGAAAGAATATCAATGATTAAGGATAAACTATGTATTATTATCTCTTGTGTCTCAGTATTTGTTGACGCCAATGTGGGCGTTGTCCTTTCTATTTATAATTTGGTAACTGAATAATTTATTAAGGAAAGATGGAAGCAATACAAGGAGGCTAAACACGTCACTCCTCTATACACCTAGATCCAAGCATTGATGCAGCTAGCGAATTGGTTGCAGTATTAAACTTGGACCCTTAAAAACAAAGGAAATATACTCGATGTGCTCAACCATTCCACGAGTATCAGCACTGAGAGATGCCTAGCACCAAGGTGGAGTACTTACACTGTTCTGCAGGGGAGAAATCAGATAAAGCAACTCCCAACAAAACAGATATCACTGCCCCTTAATTGAGGGCATGCTGAACAGTCAAGTGAAGTGCATGGCCTTCTGCTACCTCTGGGTCTGTTGCATTTAAACCACCTGCTTTCGAGGACAAGAAATGATGATCCTTGTTTGTACAATACAAGCTATAGCCGCGTGGACATTCTTACAAGCACCATCAAACGACACTGGAAATGAAACTAAGTTATACTTGGGCAGATCAAGTATATATACCAATGTTTGGTGGGCGTGAGAATTTGGAAACATTCCCAATCCGATTATGGAGATTTCTCTTTTCTTCTACTTGTTGCATGTTTGCTTGTTTGCTTTTTTCTTTCAGATCTACTAGTTAGGTATCAAAATGTTGTCATTAGGGGTGAGTTTCCTGATACCTTGGTCAAGCAAAGGAGGATCAAACACTAGACCACTTGGTCAAACAAACTCTGATATCATCTCAAGGGACCATTGTTAGGTGAGGTTCCTGAATAGATTTTTATTCTCTAACAATATAGACATCTGCATGTGAACAAGGACTAATTTTGAGACGGTTATGTAATGGTTTGGATGTTGATTTGGCTTTTTTTTTGTTATTTAAAGTAGAAAAATGCAGTTTTAGCTTTTTTGCCTTGGCTGGTTGATGGAAACTTGGTCTTGTCGTAGAGGCTTCATCATTTGATTTCTGGCATATTTCTAAATCAGTTGATGTTTGATTTACATTTTTCAATGCACTAGTAGGAACTTTTTTTCTAGCGTTGCTTTACCGTCAGCCCTTGTTTTCTACTTTTTTCTAGAATCCTGTCGATTAGTGTTCTGGTGCTGGTTGCAATTTGCGAGGTGTGGTGAGAAGTGTTTTGCGGATCTTGGTGAAGAATTGAGGCTTCAAAGGAGTTAAAAAATTATACTAGTGGGTACATAGTAATTGTTGAGAGTTCCAACCCCCAAATGACAATTGTTAAAGTTGATAGGATCAATTTCTTGGAATGGTCTCAATATTCACCAGGTTGTCCGTGGGTGGACACGGAAAGATGGGATTCTGGTGGGGGGGACAGTCTGGTGATCCCTTGTATGGCCGCAGGCCGCTGCCTGCCTGGGAATAGGAAAACATGCTTGTTATGTCTTGGCTAATTTATTCTACGTAGCCCAGTATTACTCGTAATTACATGTTCAAGGAAAATGTTACCTAAGAATACAGCCATAACCTATGGTGACTATTAAAATTAAATGGGGGAAAGCGTGAAGAAGTGGTTTGTGATTTTCGAAGGAAGGTAAAGCATAATCAAGATCATCGTTGGAGGCTAGAAGTGGAAAATCACACGTTTGATCATTCTCTTTCTTTGCCTAGTCGTATCAAGATTCTTCTTTTTTGACAATTTATACTTTTCTTGCCTAGGATTAGGGTTGGTTAACTATGTATTTCTAGACGGTATGCGGAAAAATCGAGCTATGTCTTCTCCTGTATTTTCATCAGCTTTGTTTTAATTAATAAAATCTTAAAGGTAGATTCCCCTCCACCAGGTATAAAATTTGAGGTTTGAAAAATTTATCATTATTGAAAGTTATATATATATATATATATATATAGTCGGGACCCGTGAGATGTACAGACTTTGTTAATTCAAATTAAAGCAGAAGGAATCTCATAACATTCGTAATTGGGCTAAACCAAATTGAATTCATCCCAAGTATTACTTTTTGTACTCATGTGTCTAATAAATTTTTAGTATTTTTAGTTTTATTTATTAACATTCATTTTTAGATAAATATTATTAGATACTATTATTTTATTATTTTTAAAATGAATTTAAATAGATTTTATTTTTAACAACAATTTTATTTTTATTAATTATGTTTGAAATGCATGGGCTTTTCTAAATAAAATTAAAGTATAAGAAGCCTTAAGACATTCCCATTTAGGAATATCCAGCCAAAGTTCAACCCAATTCTAAATTTGTGATTATGTAGTATTGGACCAATTTGTATTATTTTTATGGGTTTTAAAATAATAATTACTTTTATAGTTAATAAAATTTTATTATTTTTAAATGGAATCTAACTGGATTTTTAAATTTTTATAATATTTGTTAATTATTATTTTCACTAATATTTTATGTATATTAGTTATTGTTTGATAAATTTGCATTAACCTTAATTATTTCTAATTGACTTTATATCAATAAAATTACTTTTATTAATTTTATGAATTTTATTATTTTATAAATAATTTAAATTAATAAGATTAATTTTAAATGATTAACTAACTAAATTAATTAACTATTAGTTAATAAGTAACCAGTTTTCATTATTTTTAGATTATAGGAGAGTTATATAAAAACCCCATCCCTACCCTGTCCTTGTTTGGGGTATAAAAATTTGCGTATTCCTACCCCGTCTCTATTTAAGATTGGGAAAAACCTCCCCATTCAGAACAGGGTGGGTTTGGAGACTTATATGGTGACCTTATCCTCTATATGTCCTTCATTTGGGCAATAGAAATCCCCATTCCTACTGCATCCCTATTTAATATCAAGCAAACCCATTCCATTCGAGATGAGGCCCTAAATTGCCATCCTTAGATGTTGATATGGATAATTATGTTTTAAGTACATAGAATAAATTATGACTAATAAATTTAATCAATTTAATTATTCCTTTTATCAAGATAATTTAATCATTAATTATTATGCTGTTAAGTAACCTAAGTTACATTAATGTAATCATATTTACATTTTTATCTAGATTGAAATTATATAAACTAAAATACTATAATTAAATTTAACTAAATAACAAAATTAATATTATCTAAATTAATCAAATTAATGTAAAATGATCTAAAGTTGTATACTGTTAAATTTATCTATATATAATTATATTAAGGTAATAGGTAGTAGATCATTATCTTCACTTTTAGGGAGAGAAAAATTATGAACAAATAGAAGAAAAGATGGCAAAGAGGTGGGACATTATGGGTTAGAGAGGAGTGTAAGATGGACAACTACATTTTAAAATATAGTATATCTACATATTAGATTTTGGTAGAGAGAAATTTTAGATATATTTTTAGGTGGGAATATCCAAAGGGGGCAAACATAATAGAAAGAGGGCTGCTGACTTGGCATATGAGAATGGTGGGAAGGGAAAAGGAGAGAGAGAGAGAGAAAGCGAGAGAGAGAGAGAGAAGAGTTATGAAGAAAGCAGGAAAGGGGGTTTGGAGAAAGGAGAGGCATACTGACATGGACCACCTTGCTTTATATATATAATATAGATTCTCACAATAGAACAATTGGCAATCACATTTAAATGTACATATCCATTTCCATAATCAAGTAACCAAGCATTAAATCTCAGTTAAGTAGGCTTAGGTTCGCAGTATTGATATGTTTCATACTGTACCTTATGATACATATCAAATTTCAGGGTTTCCTATATGTTAAAGCGTATCATAAAAGCGATAACCAATTGGGTGGGTTTTCATCAAAATTCACGAGAGATTTTGATTGGTCAAACGCTTTCGGGTATTATGTAGGACAAAACCAAATTCAGAATGCAGTTTATTAATTGTTAATCTTTTCTATCTTTTCTTTTTCTTTAGCACACATGGGGATAATTAGTTTATTAACAATCCATTTCTCCTTTTACATGTGACATATGGGGTTTACATTCCCAAATTGAGTAGGAAGAGAAATGAGAATGAGATGGACCTAAAGCTTGTCAAAAATTCTACCCTCATCAACTTTAAATAGCCACTTGGCCAGCTAAATCTGGTATCTTCATGGTGTATTATTTGTGCATTTCCATTTTCCATAATACCTCATATTTCTAGTTTAACCAAAATGTTGCTATCTTTAGCCCTCTCAAATTTTTGGAGCTAGTGATAATGCAACTTAAAATGTTCTGGTGGTGTTCCTTTCAAGGGTACTATCCAAGGATGATGTTGGAATAGTGTGTTCCATGTCTTTTAGAGCAATACCTTTATTATAGGGCATTTTTTGGCTCGTCTTTTCTCTATTACAAAGTCAATGTTAGCAATTGCAAATACATACTTAATGTCTTGATTCCATTCCTTTAAAATTTGTCCTACTCAAAAGTCCAAAATTCCATTTACCTAAAAGAAAGTAAAAATTTATTGCACTTGTAGCTATGATGTCTAAATAAACTCACAAAAAATCCTTTATAAATAAAACAACAAACCATATATTCGTGGAATTATGGGTGAAAAATTGGAACCTAATTGGAGTAGTCAATTAGATTCATGAGAGTTATTTCATGTGATAAACTTTGTTAAGAAACCCAATACATCATCACAATATCCCTTTTTGGACCAATGATAACATGCAACTGATTCTTTTATATTATAGGAATGGTAGGAAACCCAATGAATTATTATAGTCCCT